TGTGTATAAAATAAAGAGAAATAAAAAAGAAATATTTTAGTTACTAAAGGGTGCTAAGTCTAACAACGTTATTTTTACGTCTGTTTTCTAAGATATAATAAATAAATAGATAAATAAATTTAAACTATTTTAAATGAAAAATGCTTAATGCAATAATTACTACTCTGCCGATTTGAAGATTAACGAAATGTGAAACAAGAAGAACGTGAGAAAACATTGAGAATACTATTTTATTTTCCTCTTTTGCAAATTGTTTGGCTTCTGTTTCTTGCAGTCGTTTCGCAGAATGTTGATTCTGCACGAAGACCAAGTCTAAAAATGGCTATACAAAATATTTCTAGTCGGTAAGGATATAGATAACGATTCGATCGTAGTCGACAGAGCGCTTAGAAAAGTTTGCTCGTGTAAAGCAAGCATAGGATCGCGGTTTCTCATCGGCAGGAAAATATTCGCAACAAAATTGGCCGGCAATTGCGAAGATCCTTGCCGCTGTCAACCGTTCCCGGTAATGGCCGATGACATAAACGGCGATCCGAGCGAATCCAATTGCCCGATACTACCTCGACACAGTGTCATCTTCGCATCTTCGAAGACGTTGCGCGGCCGCGATGGGACGCGACGCGTCGACTCGCGGGGGATCCGTAGAGTCGATAAGACATTGTAATGCCATAAATGATCCTACCTCCGCATTATTTCGTATTCCGTTCAGGCGTTCCCAGTCTTCGTAAATTCAACGTGGCAAGTACGCGTTTTAAGTTCTCGTTCCTTCCTCGTGAAATCTGAGACTTCTTGTCGACTTTACTACGTGAGATTTATACGTAGAGGTGGTCTCGCCGTCTCCGATTATATCGTTCCATCCCGAAAAATCCTCCTAGACTCCAGTTTCCTCCACGACCGGTGTCATCAAACCGTCAAAACCCAACACCGGTGCTGCGATAATTATATTCCGTACCTATAAAGCTTCGAATGACACCGGTGAAACCGTAGGAACATCTCCTCGACCATAAACGACGCGGATTTCAACTTCCACGGAATCAAATTTCCTGCGCTTCGAGATTACTTTTCCTGTCGCGTTTGCGCGTCGAACCGCGTTGTTTATTCGGCTAAGAACGCGGCCTGGCAGTGATTCATTGTGCTCTTCGGTTCTGTTATTTATCCTCGGCTTTTTGAGTCTCGAGATAAGATTCAGGAATGCCGTGTTGGATCCACGATGGAGGACAAAAGCGTTCGAACAGTTTTTGTAAAAAAAGCTTTTACAACACTTTTCAAACTAGAGTAAACGACTTTCGAGGGGCTAGTTTATTGTACGATGACTTAAATACCTTTTTAAAATTTGCTATTATTTGACATGACAAAAAGATATATGTTTTTAAACTTTTTATCCGAGCTTATTACGACACTGTGACATTGTTATGAATCGTTAACAATTAATCCCTGATCTTTGACAGAATTCTCGAGATTTTGACGTCTTGCAATGCCTGTAGCTTGATCACGCGTCATTTGATTTGGATGACATGTTACAGAAAATTTCATTGTTTTTTTTAACGAATGAGATCAGAGACCAATCGACGCAAGTCTCTGCCAAAGAAATTAGAAGAACGTATTTATACCAGATAACATCACCGTTTGAATATTTCGACAACTTTTGGCTTATGCTAATTGGTTTCCGAGTGCTGCATACATGTGTCCCAAAAATGTCTCGCAATTCGGAAATGACGGGTTCCTCGGATCATTTGAAGCAGCTTCTTTCTTTACAAAAATGTTCTCCGAGGCACCGTTAACGAGTTATTAACGAAAAACAGTGACCAATAAGAATCGAGTACGGCTGACGCGAGGCGGCCCAGTCAACCAGCGCGCAAAGCCCAATTCCGCTTATTGGCTCGGTCGCCTCGCGCCAGCCGAGCTCGCCTCTCATTGGTCACTGTTTTTCGTTAATAACTCGTTAACGGTGCCTCGGAGAAAATTTTTGTAAAGGAAAAAGTTGCTTCAAATGACCCGAGGAAACCGCCACTTTCGGATTGCGAGACATTTTTGGGACAGCCTGTATAAAACGCGTGTGACACTATTTAAATATCCTTTAAAAGCCAGAAATCATTTCGTCACGGACATGCACAGTTTGCAAGTATGTGTTTTCTTTATTATAAATGCTATAATTATACAATAATATTCTACAGACGGACAACATTTTACGAGTCTTGCAAATCTGACGGATGAATTGACCAGTTGCATGAACCTCGATATGTTGCATGCACATCGTTAGTCTCATCCTGGCGCAACTATGAAAATAGTACGTACTATAACTACACGGAACGAGAACGTTCTTCCTTCCACAAGAAGTTCCTTCGATTTCAACACCTTCGAGGTTCGCTGTTAAATGCACATTCTGTGCACTTCTCCGACCGTTTTTACCATTAAATCTAAAAATACTGTGTATCGTATTCGTCGGAGTCGGAATCCGGCAACTCGGCGCAAGCATAGCAAATCTTCCCGACATCCCTCCAGCATTCAGGGCAATGTACAAAGGGACAGCCGGGCGTCGTGCACTTTCTATGCTCCGGCCCTTTTCTGGGCTCCACCTCGTCGCAAATTAAGCACCTCTCCCTGGCGCAGGCAAAAAACCGGAGCCAGCCGAACTGAGCCGGCCATTTCTGTCTCATGGTCATCCAGAAATCGACTTCGTACTCCAAACGACGCGTCCTGACCAGCCTCTTCACCCTCGCCTTCATGAATCTCGCGAAACCGATCCGCCTTCGCAGGCTCTCGTTGTACAGATACAGCGTCCTCCTCTTTTCCCGTTTCCGGTAAAAGAACGAGCAGATACCACGACGCGTCCTCTGCGTGTAAATCGATCCAACGTTCAGCAGACAAATAGCGAAGAACGTCCCGTAGATCTTGAAGAGCACGTGGCCATCCAGTTTCGTTGGTTTCGGCAGACAGGCGCTGTTCGTGGTCACGGTTTTTATGTGCTTCTTCACATTGAAGCCGCGGACGGCGCTTCTGATCAGGGTTGCTATCACTCCCGTGCCTCTGATCTCCAGGGACAAGTCGTGATGACCTGCCTGATACGAAGATTGTCTCTAATTACGAGTACAGTAATTTCTTTCTAACTGACGCTCAGATTGTGCACAAAAATGGACAATTTGAGAAAAGGAGATTATTCGAGATTATTCGAGTCTTGCAGCACGTTTTTATAGTTGTTGACAATCGATAACTATAAAAAAAATCGTACCCCCTCTTTCCAAATTGTCTATTTTTATGCACAATATGAGCGTCAATTAGGCAGAATTTACTGTTTACAGAGTATCCTAAAATTATGGTATTTCTGGAAAATCAGGGGTTCCTCATGTCATTTGAAGCAACTTTCTCCTTTGCGAAAATTTTCTCCGAGGCTTCGTTTACGAGTTATTAACGAAAAACACTGACCAATAAGAGGCGAGCTCGGCTGGCGTGCAACGGCCCAGCCAACGAGTGCGCGGAGCACAGTTCCGCTCATTGGCTCGGCCGTCTCGCGCCAAATGATCTCGCCTCTGATTGGTCATTGTTTTTCGTTAATAACTTGTAAATGAAGCCGCGGATTGCATTTTCGCTGAGGAAAAAGTTGCTTCGAATGTCGTTAAGAATCCCTTATTTCCCGATTGCGAGTGACTTTTGGGACCTCTGTATAATTTTCTAAGTTTTCTATAGAAAATCCCTGACACACTTTACCTGTGTGTATTCTATAAGAGCGTGTCTCCTAATCATATCCAGCACTTCATAGAACAAGCTATCGAGGACGATAAAAATACTAGCAGTAATTATCTCGAGCAACAGCTTCACCATCTGGCCAGTCAAATTAAATCCCTCCGCTTTGCCGGGTTTCCAGCTATAAGGATCGATGAATTTCTTCCTCTCGATCTTCTTCAGTGGCAGAAGCGCGAGGCTTCCGCGAGCTTTCCTTCTCGCGTCGATTCGCCGAAAATATGGCGTCACGTAAACGTTGTCGTACTCGATGTCGTCCATGTATTTGTCGTGGTAACGCTGAGAACTGAGAATAATTTTCAGGAATACAAAGGACAAGCATCTTTTCACGATGACCATCACGGATTCGAAGAGCTTGGCTCTCGTTGCGAATTGGTGGGCGACTGCTTTAGCCGCGTAGACGGAGTCCTGGAGATCCAGGATCACAGGAGGTTTCTTTATTTTGTACTGCAGCTTGGCGTCCTTCAGGCTTCTGGTGAACTCGTTCCTCGCACCTGTCGACAGAGATCGAGGTGAACTTTAGCACACGAGGAACTTTAGCACGCTGCGTTTCGTAAGCGGTAATTAACCAAGCGATACGTTGTTGTTGTCATTGTAACTGCGTGGGTGTAATTGTTATACGATTTGTCGACAAACACTTTAACGTGACTCGAAAGACTTGGAATGTTTGTATTTCGCAGGTGACAAATTCAACGACGTCGATAAACTATTTATCTATTTATCATTTATCGCTCAATTGAACAAATGATTTTCGTTCTTTCTCTTCCGAAGCAAGCGGGAAGATACAAAATTGACGAAAACTTTCCATAATTTGCCACAAATTGTTAACTAGAATTGTGTCGAAATTCAGTTAAGATAGAAAACAATTTTACGAATTTTAAGTTATTAGCTTCCGAAATAGTACAGAAATACATGAAATGTACCTCTGGGTTTATAATTGATTGGTTACATAGAAAGTGACACGAACTCATTTATTTGAAGGTCATCGATTCTATTAAACGTTCCAAATATGTAATTTTTAAAAACCATAGAAATTATTCGAAAATTTTCAAATGGAACGATCTTGCGCACGACACACGATGAATTGAGCGTTACTTGAAATGTAATTAGTTTATGGTTCTACATATATGTACAATAAATACGCGATACGTACTTTTCAAGGCAGCATAGCCTTCGCCAATGCCACTGTCGACCTTGCCCTCGGGGTCGCAGATGCTGGAACCACCCAGAGCCTGGACCAGGTTGCAAACGAAAGTGAGCTTCATCGGCCAGCAGAGAAGCCAAGCAACGAACATAGTTACTTTGTCGTAACACTTGTCGTAAGCGTCGCTGAACATATCCCTGAAATGAATCGAACGAACAATGAACTGGCATACAGTAGTGTAGTTCTAAGTATACACTAGTATACTTCAAATAATTATGGCCTCAAAGTGACTTTTAATTTTTATCGTGAGATTTCAACAAAAGCTTCAACATGTTTGTACATTTCTATATCAGAAATAATAGAAAATAGAAATGCACAAATACGATGTTTCGTTAAGTTTTCGTTTAGGTACCAGTAACAATGTGCACACCACTGTATACAGAGTGTCCCAAAAATGCCTCGTAATCCGGAAATGGCGGGTTCCTCGGATCATTTGAAGCAACTTCTTCCTTTGCAAAAATGTTCTCCGAGGCACCGTTAACGAGTTATTAACGAGAAACCGTGACCAATGAGAGGCGAACTCGGCCGAGCCAACGGTGCCAGCGGTCGAGCGGTCGAATCCCAGCTCAGCCGGCGCGAGGCGGCCGAGCCAACGGCGCCAGCGGTCGAGGCGGTCGAATCCCAGCTCAGCTGGCGCGAGGCGACCGAGCCAATGAGCAGAACTAGGCTTCGTGCGCTGGTTGACTGGGCCGCCTCGCGTCAGGCGTGCTCGATTCTTATTGGTCACTGTTTTTCGTCAATAACGGCGCCTCGGAGAACATTTTTGTAAAGGAAGAAGTTGCTTCAAATGACCCGAGGAACCCGCCACTTTCGGATTGCGAGACTTTTTTGGGACACTCTGTAGTCCTCGCGCGACAAGAAGGCACCTTTGTGTTTACATTCCCCCCTCTCACTAGCTGCCCCGTTGCCGCAGCTAGTAAGGGGTGGGGGAATGCAAACACAAAGCTGCCTTCTTGTCGCGCGAAGACTGTACATTGAACCACAGCAAAGTAAATGCACGAACAAATATATTCAGCTCTACGAAGCGTACCTACATCTGTCCGAGCCCCGGCTGAGCTGTTCCTCGCACCTAGCTTCGATCTTCTTCTTATACTTCGCTTCGTACACGTCGGCAGCCGATTTGGCTTCATCGATTTTCTTCTCGTAGTTCTCTTCAATGTCCTTGCTCCTCTTCGTATCACCTTGCAATTCGTCCAGGTAATCGTTTTCCTCGTTTAATCGCCGCATTTCCTCCTCACCCTCGATCTCCTCGACGATGGGACTCATTAGATCCCTCACAGATGATAGAGTATCCTTTATCTCCTCCCCGTCGGATTTCATTGCGAGAACGGCCTGATTGCGTACGAATCTTAATCAGTTTCTTGCAATTTGTCTGTTCTAGGAGAGACTCGCGCGGTTAACATTTTAGACCCCGTGTATAAATATTGTTATTGGACTATTTAGTTTCTGACAATTAATTAAATAATTAATTAATTTAATTTATTTTGTGTACAGAAAAAGACTTACGCTCAACGAATATGTCGAGAAAGATTACCAAATAAAATTATAAATAACTCTAAGCATCTCTGTTATATGTATATTGTGAAAAAGATTCGCCGTTCGAGTGTTCAAATAATTTTTAAGCATAATTATTGCGCCGTGCATCTGCAGTAACGTCGAGCAAAAAAGGGTGGACGTATTATCGACAATTTTCTTGCATTTTTAGAAAATATAAAATTGTTTAGAGTTGTAAATGCGAACTTTTAAATATTACGAACGTAATTAAACGCGATTCAGTTAATGAAACTGAAAGGGAACAATTATGTGCATACATTTGTTGTATCGTAATAAAGACTCGTTTCTATTGAAATAAATATATGACATATGCAAACTCGGCAAAGTAAAATCTCGTCGATCGTAGGCATCACCTGTTGAAATGGCTTGAACATCAAGTCGAACCTGGTTTTCGTGAGATTGTACGTCAACTGGGATGTGCAGGCGAACGATCTCACCACCTCTTTTGCATTATATACCATGTTAAAGAGCGGTCCGGCTATTATGTAACCGAAAACCAATGCTCTTAGCACACTGCGGCCCGATCGTCCGAAGAAACCAGGTATCGTCAGAACGCAAATACATCTCACCTGTTGCATTAAAAATAATAAGATCTAGTTGCCATTAATCTTCTCGCACGTAGTAGAAATCGTTTCTCGAAGCAGTCTCTAATTTAGAATATCAAAATGCAGACAATTGTGCAGTTACGCGAACTTATAAAATGCAACGGATCTACTTTAGTTGCACAATTGTGGAATCGTCCGAGCAGCGAAATATTTTGATATTGTTCCAGAAAAAATTACACGAGCTGAAAATTTGCATGAAAATGTACAATTGTGACGTTAATAATCTAAAGATAAAAGAGTAATAAATAGTAACGAAGAGAAACAGTAGTAAAAGTGACAAAATGCTGCGTTACAAAGAAAATTTGAACTTATTTTTTTAATGTTGTAAACGTTGCTTGTTCGAGGAAATCAGGTACCTGAATGGACGCGGCGCAGCCAATAGACATCATCGTGACGAGGGCGACGGCAAGACCGAAACTGGTATATTTGTCGAAACGTAAATCAACGATAATGAATCTGTACAAAACGATAGCCATTGTGAAACCGAAAAGGAGCCCCGCGAAGGCGCGTGCTTTTCGATGCGTGCCGATCGGATCGTAGCAAACGTGGAACAGGGTTGGAAAGTGGCGGAGATAATATTTGAAGAAGGTCTTTTTAAATATCTCCACTCGACGACCAATGTTAGTTTGGCTCTCCATCGTTTTTCTCTCGAGCAACGTTCGCCGTAATTACCGAGTCACGCTGTGATCGTGTACATTCGGTTTCGTGGTTAGAAAGAAACGATCGATGTTTGTGCTCGATCCTGCGATCTGCTCCTTGTTATCCAATATCGCGCTAAATTGTAACATCGTTTATAGAACGTTCTCTGGCCACGATGTATTGCAAGTTCTCGGTGACAACTATTTTATGATACGAAGAATTCGACGTCGACGACATTCGACGCAGCAATTTTTTCAATATTTGACACCACTTCGATCGTCTAACGAATGACGTCTCTTCGAATCATTGTGGTTACGTTTAACTTTTTAGGCACGACGCGCCACTATAGTGGCTTTCGCGGATGTCACCTTTCAGAACGACGCGCCACTATAGTGGCTTTCGCGGATGTCATCTCTCTGGACGACGCGCCACTATAGTGGCTTGCTCTATTAGCTCACTCGCTCATCGTTTGAACCAAATAATCGTCTTCATATGCATTGTTTCACACTTCTTTTGTCTTCACATCGATTTGCAACAGCTACAGGGTGTCCCAATAATATCTAGCTGAGCTCGCCTCTCATTGGTCACTGTTTTTCGTTAATAACTCGTTAACGGTGCCTCGGAGAAAGTTTTTGTAAAGGAAAAAGTTGCTTCAAATGGCCTGAGGAACCCGCCACTTTCGGATTGCGAGACATTTTTGGGACACCCTGTATATACAGTATCAGACTCTGCAGTCCAGAGAAATAGCCTCGCGCAGAATTCAGCCGTACGTAAAAGGTTAAACAAGCAAGCCAAGCGGCGTTTTCCAATACTGTAATACACAAGCACGATATAAACAATGCTTAATTTAGAATTGTTCTAAAAGCTTCGGATATTCTTCCTGATCGGTTGTTTATACCGGAATCGAGGTAATATTTTTGCAGGTGCTTTCGACGAACAACTACAACAGGAAAATTGTTTGTTAATTAGCGGGTGTCACCGGGTAGCCATCGGTGAATGTGTTAAAAGAACACGTGGACCGCTTTCGTCGGCGGTGTTACGTCACTGTTCCGCCGAAAATGACACGGTGACCTCTTGAAGCACGTCCAACGAATACCAAACGCTCGTGTCTCCGACGATTCGTGTGCTAGGCCACGTGTCCATTTGCAATGCAGAAACGAAAGTAAAAGGATAAGTACGAATGCGGAATATTACGAAGACAATGTGTTTAGCGATACTTTATTTGATAGACACGCGATGTCGAGTTGATTCTTCGAAGGACATTGTCCACTGTTCGCAGACGTAATACTATTCTGTTCGCCTTATGCGCGCTTGTACGCGTGTGCGTCACGACCGATCATTAATTGTCAAGCGACTTCGACTTTAACTATGCGTTGATTACAGGCGATAATTTACACCGGGAAATTATTTGTATTCGAGGCCGCGCCAAGGACCGAAGATCCCCAAGCATTCTTGTCGCGTTTCCGGTGATCATCAGACTTTGATGCCGTGCTTGCCAGCTTCCTTCTCGTACTTGTTCTTGTACACGCCGTCGGGATCGTATTTCTTCGACAGTTTCTTCCACATCTCCGGCTTGTTATCCACCAGGAACTTCACGACCTTCTCGGTCACTTCTCTTTGCTTCTCTGTGCACTTGCTGCACTCGGTGGCCAAAGCGTCGGGCAGAACTCCTGAGGAACGAAAACAAAACGATTGAGCGAGGGATTGTGTGCACGTTCTACTTGACGCGAAGGAAATGATAGAAATCTGCAGGTCGCAGATTCTGATGTTATAAAAGTAAAATCGGGAATAATTGAAGAAGAAGAGACAATAATTGCATCGAGAAGATCGATACGAACTAAATGTTGCTAACTCGCTCGTCTTGATTCCAAAAATTTAAGAGAATGTATTCGAGAACGAGAGATACGCAGTAATTGTATAAATTGTTTTGGAATTGTTCTATTTAATCTCTTCGAGACAAGAATTGTTTTTCCGAATTAAATAGCGATGAATTTTAAGAAAATAATTATTATTATCGATATATAAGAAGTGCAGTAAATTCTTTCTAATCGACGCTCAGATTGTAAATGGACAATTTGGGAAGAGCAGGTACGATTATTCGAGCGTTGCGGCTCGTTTTTATAGTTACCGATTGTCAACAACTATAAAAATGAGCAGCAAGGCTCGATTAATCGTACCAACTCTTCCCGAATTGTTCATTTTTGTTTCCAAGCTGAGCGTCAATTAGGGAGAATTTACTGTATAGTTCTCACGCGACAGGAAGGCATCTTTGCGTTTACATTCCCCCTCTTACTAACCGCCCCACTCCCGCAGCTAGTAAGAGGGGGTATGTAAACACAAAGGTGCTTGTCGCGTGAGAACTATATGTTAAACACTATATATAGCGAAGGACGTTTTACTTCTATACAACAAAATAATATGTATATTTACATATTTATAATACTAACAAAATATTAATAATAGCCTGCATCGTTTAAACTGGGTCGAGTAACTCGAAATAGTAAGCAGAGAGCATCGATAACAATAGTCTCTTAATTAAATAAAAAGTAATAAATTGAACATTAGCTAGTCTTTAAAATGAATGAAAGATCAACATTGAAATATAAAAATAAAAGAAAATAGATGCGCCGTGCTGGAGACGATCTAATTGAACAGTGAGATCGTGCGAAATCATCTTTGCTCTGGTGATTTCAATGCTTGGTCGGACAAGCGCGAACGCGTCGCGTGCATTCAAATCCCATTTGTAACAACGATAAACGTACGATTATTCTACGATCATTGAGATTACAAAGATGTTTTTACTGAAAATTCTCGTACAAGCTTATTTAATCGAGCACGCGTTATCATGCAAATTGCGAATAGTCTCGATAAATTGAATCTTGTAGTTTTGATGATGCAACACGTATTTGGTGGCCGAGACGTTTAGCGTTGAACGATTTTCAAGCGACACTGGAGTACAAGGAAAACGAATTAAACAATTTTTCAGGGAGGTGACGCCGTTTTACTCACGTTTCAGTTCGGTACCCTCGGGAGTGCACCTTCCCTCGTCCATCAAACATTTGTAATAGTTGCTCAGCAGACGATCACTTTTCAGAATTTGATCGATATCGATGTTGTCGAATTTGTTCGTGTATTTAGTTGCTGGTTTGTCTTCTTCAGGCCGCGCGGACACGCAGGTGACCGCCACCAGGGCGAGCAAACAGAGCACTCCGTATTTCATGGCTGTGGTAATAAAAGGAGCGGAATTAAGACTTCAATTTCAGCGTCTGTTCAAATTCTGTATGAAATCTATAATTTTCTGCCGTTAGGTATTTATCAATTTTAGGATGACTGGTACTTTTGAATATTATAATTTTAGGATGACTGGGAATGACTGTGAATTTTTACGAAAAAAGGAATTCTAAATTTTGCAAATTCCGATTCCAAGGTTAATTCTGTGCGTCACGCACAATCATTTATTGCCTTCGCAACAAATGCGTACATTACTTCTAATCATTAGCTTGTCAATGCCAAAGTTTCCACTTTACGCTGTAATCTACTGAATCGCAATATGAGAAGCGTTTGTTCGCACTGATCTTGTCGCGAATACTTTCAAGTAGTAGTTAAAACGTTACAAATATTTACACGTTCCTATCGCTGATTTCGATCGAACGTTGCGCGATTGAGTTCGATAAAAGAATCAATACATCTGGCTAAAGCAGCATTAAAAGCACGTTTAAAGAATTGAGCAACAGTTATCTAAATGTTATCCAAATATTAAAGCCTGATCGCTCGCTGAATAATTCAACAATCAAAAATCGTCAAACTTGCGATTCTCCGTGACTTCTGATCGATAACGATTTCCGGGATATTTTCAGCGTGGGTATAATTTATCGTGAGTCGACTCTTATTAAAAAAAAGCTAAATAACATAGTATAGAAACTTTTTGTTGTCGTGCCAAGCAATTGCAAATGTTGCAAAAAATTGTTTAGTTGTTCCTCTAACATCTCAAGAAAATTCAACTAGTTCGGTGCCATTTTAAAACAGTTATTACGCTTTAAAAAGCGTCCGAATATTTTAACGAGTGACTATATGAGCCGTTTATTTTGAAAGTGGCATAAGTCACTTTACCGTAATGAAAAGTGGTGATGTTTTAATGTTTAAACGAAATTATTTATACTGAGAAAAATATCAGTATCCCGAGATAACAAATACAAGTAAATCTTCTCGAAAGTTAGCATCCATATTTTGAAACGTGTTAAAACGCAAACCCTTAAATGTATCGACTTAAAAACAAAGTAACTTATGCCACTTTCAAAATAAACGGCTCATATAT